ATCAGCGCTCATGCGAGCGACGCTCAAAAACGGGTCTGACGCGAGGTGGCGCAGCGACCTTACGCGGTGGCTTACGCGGGCCGCCGGCGCGGCACGACACCTTGGAGACGAGGGCGCTGGCGCGCGACCTTACGCGGGCAGCTCACGCGCCAGTGTCAGCGCAGACGACCCTGCTCTTTCTGCGTCGCTCGTGTGCCACACGGATTGTTCGTTCGCTGCCGTACCAGCGAGCTGGGAAAAATGGTCCGGCGGCTCCCTGAACAGCGATGCTGTCCTCCCTCGCCTCGGGCCCTTGTCCGGGCTCTCCCTTGTCGGCCCCGGGGCCCGGGGTCCTGGCGGGCTCCTCCCCCGCTCGTCCTCTTGCCCTTGGGGTTCTCTTTCGGGGGCGCCGTCTCGCTGAGCGTTGTAGTGCACCGTGGTGTGCGCAAAAAAATGTCTTTTATGCGGCCTGGGCGCCGTGGCACCTTGATCACAGCGCGAGCACTGTTTGGGAAGAAGCCCGTAGGGCCGCGATCCGCACGTCCCCGAGGGCGAAGCTCCGAGGGCAGCACAAAGCTTTGACCCGTGGTGCGCGTCTGGCTACATGTTATGACGTACATTGCTCGGTGCTGTCATGATGCGCACTGCTGCACTGTTGGGCACTGTCGATGTCATGCTATGTCATGCGATGGTGATGATGTTGATGATGGTGATGATGACGATGATGATGATAATGATGATGACGATGATGATAATGATGATGGTGATGATGATGATGATGGTGATGATGGTGATGATGGTCATTTTGATGCTGACGTTGCTCTTGTTGGTGATGATGATGATGATGATGATGATGATGATGATGATGATGGATGATGATGATGATGATGATGATGATGATGATGATGATGACGATGATAATGATGATGCTGCTGCTGCTGCTGATGATGATGATGATGATGATGATGATGATGTGTCGTACGCTACACTGTTCTACTTCACGTGCTGCGCAATGCGATGCAATGGTATGCTGCCCGCCCTGCGCTGTTCTATACAATACCATGTCACCCGACCGATCCACGCTGCGTTGGCATGGCACGTGTCCGTCTGATGCTGCACTGGTTGCGCAAGACGCTACCATACTAAGACATGCAGTAGCGCCACTGCTATGCTACAGTCGGACCATGACCTCATTCAAGAACATGGGATCCTCCGCTGGCCAACATGAAGAGCATTCGAGGGTACCCCCCCAGGATGCACAACAACATCCAACAAACACGAAGAATATTGGGGTACCCTCCCCGAACCGATCTCGATCTTATACCTCGGTCCGACTGTATCTAATACTACAGCATGCCAGGCTGATTATGCCGTGCTCTGCCACGCCACGCCCTGCTGTGCTGTTCGACGTGGGGCCGCGGCCTTCCGGCCGCGCTTCCGCTGCTCTGGCTCGTACGAGGACGAGGAGCCGCCCTCTGAGTCGTCGCCGCCACCCTCCTCCTCCTCGTCCTGCCCGCGGCGCCGGCGCGGGCTGGGCCGACTGGATGCCATCAAGGACACGGCCAGTGGAAAGGGGCCCAGGCACAGGGGAGGAAAAAGACAACGGCGAGGATAAGGACAAGTGCAGGACTTCTCCTCCTCCTCCTACTCCTCCTCCTCCTCCTCCTCCTCCTCCTCCTCCTCCTCCTCAGTCTTGTCTTCCTACTGTTTCTGCGCCCTCCACCTTCTCCTCCTCCTCTTCCTCCTCCTCCGCCCCTCATACTGAATATCTTCTTCCGCCCTTCCTCACCTCACCATGCCATAGATTCCATTCATATGCCCTTCCAAATTCATACCCGCACTGTTACTTCATCATGCACATGCTTGTACTGCTGTCTTCACATCGGCCACCGTGCTCCTGGGCACGGAATGGGCGTGTCCTCAGGCCCTTTGCCGAATCCCCCGGGCCTCAGCACGCATTCCTAGGAGGAGGAAGAGGAGGAGGAGGAGGAGGAGGAGGAGGAGGAGGAGAAGGAGGAGGAGGAGGAGGAGGAGAGCCTCCTTCGCGCCCCTGCAGGTGACTCAGCCTTGGTGAAGCGGGGCCACCGTTTCCCGCGACCGTCGGGGACCCGCAGCGCGGAGGCAGCCCCTGGATCAGAGCTGGACAGCTCTGGGAAACAAATCGGTCAAGAGGGAGGGTAGTGACGAATTCGCTCAACATCTGTCCCCTGATCTCTCCGGGGGGCAAAGCTTTTGTTCTTCGTCACCAAGCGCTCCATCGACCGCCAAATCAACACTGCTGTCTGGAAATGCACGCTCAAAGCACGGGCGAGGAGGGCAACATTGCAGCCCAGCCTCTGGGGCTCAAACCGGACTATTTTTTCGACCCGGGTCCACCCATGGCGGCGAGGTGGTCTCTTTCTCACCTCCCTGCTGCTGGCTGGAACCAGTGCTGAGTTGCCGGCCCTTACAGAGGTCAGACTTCTGGGGGGCTAGAAACAACGAGAAGCGGACTCTGGCGAAGAATGTCCAAACAAGTTGCCCAGGAATGCCAGAGGAAGAACCATGCTCTGAGACAGCTGCGACACTAAACAGGGAACATCCAAGGGATTGAGCCCACCTTTTCCTGACCCCCCTAAAAGGACGCCCCCATTGGCAGGCGAAAGACCTCAGCCCCCCAGCCGCCTCCTCCAACCCGCAGCCTCCGCTCGCTCCGACCCCGCGCGAGCAGCCGTGCGCTGGGAGGGGCGCCCCAGCTGTGCGCGATCCTCTTCGGCGGCCTCCTCGGCGGCCTGCACCTCAAAGACCTCCGTGCAGCGGAACCACGCCTCGCGACGCACGCGCGGGATCAGCGCGTGACCCAAGCCCCAACCGCGTCGGGAACAAAAACTGTTTTGCGTCGGCGGCTGGGCAAGGGCTGTCTGCGCTGGCGGAAACACCTGACTAAACGGGGGCAGCGTTGTAGCGAAGTGGCCAGCATGCAAGAGGATGAGGAGGAGGAGGAGGAGGAGGAGGAGGGACAGAGCGGGCGGCCGCAGGGGGGGGGGGGGAAGATGGCCACCCAAGGGGGACGGATCATTCCCTGAGCGTGCTGGCGCGGCCAGCTCCGCCAGCGGGGACTGAGCGGCTGCTGCGCCGGGGTACCGGCTGAGGCGGGGCCCAGTGCGGGCAGCGCAGGGCAAAACATCACGAAGCCGACGAAGAGGACGAAGCGCAAGGCCGGCGGGCCGCGCGCCGCCCAAGAGGGGGCGCGGGAGGTGCGGCGAGTAGCGCGCGTCCTGGGCGGAACGCATCCAAGATGCTGGGCTTATGTCGGGCGTGTCCCCCGACAGGGGGATTTTCGATGACAAATAAAAAAATACCCCATCAATACCCCAAAAAGGCAAACAAATACTCAAAAAAATAGTCCCCCGACTATGTTTGGATTATTGTTTGACTATGCTGGGGGTATCTTTTTATTTTTCGTCGACAATCTCCCTGTAGGGGGACAGGCCCGACTTGATGCTGGGCCAGCACGGCGGGGGCGGGCGGCAAGACCAGGCCCGGGCCCCCGTGCGCGGCGGCCGCAGGCAGCAGCCCAGGCGCCAGCGCGGCGCACGGAAGCAGGGAGAGCGGGCAGGGGGGGTCGGGGGCGGCAAAGAGGGGGGCGTCAAAGAGGGGGGGGGTGCAAGTCATGACCGGCGGCACGTGCGCGGCCCGGCGGGGGGACCAGGGACGCACGGAAATAAGAAGCGGCGCCATGAGATCTGGGGAAATCTCATGGCCCCCGCCAGGATATCCGACCCCCCCCCTGGTCATCGCCCCCCTCTCTTCCGCCCCCGAGGGGGGGGGGAAGGGGGAGAACGGGGAGGAGGAGCGCCCTGCCTGCAGGAAACCCCGCGGGCGGGGCGGCAGCGCTTGGGCCGCGCCGGCGGCGGCAGCCTGCGCAGCACGCTGTGCGGTGGGCTGGGGGTCCCCGAAGCCACGACGCCCGGGGCCGAAGCTCGGGCGGCGCGCCGTCGGCCGGCCAAGCTGCGGCACCGCAAGACGCCCCCGCTGCCCGGGTGGACAGGGTGGGCCAAAGGCGGGCCAGGGTGGCCGGTCGCTGCCAGGGGGCACGGAGCGGCGCCCCGTGGGGAAACAAAACTATGGCCGAGGTCAGTGGCCCCCGCTGTCGGGGCGGATAGGGTGGGCCAGCTGGGGGGGGCACCTGGGCAAGAAACTGGAAGTGCACACTGTGGGGGGCCTCGGCGGCTGCTCGCTGCCAGGGAGGGCAGCAAGCGGCGCACCGTAGGCTTGCCAAGGCGGTGGCCGCAAGCAGCAGCCTCCACTGCCTGCAGGTAGGCAGGGCTGGCCAGGGAGGGGCCAGGGCGGCCGCTCGCCGTCGGGGTGGACAGCCAGCGGCGCGCCGTGGCCAGGCAAAACTGCGGCCGAAGCCAGCGGCCCCACTGCCGGGGTGGACGGGGTGGGCTAGGACAGGGCACCTAATCGGTCCAAGAGAGAGAGAGAGAGAGAGAGAAGGGGGGCCCCAGGACACACAAATAAATACACACAAATAAAAAGATTCCCCACATGTTCCATATATCTGGGGGGTTTTCGTCTGCCCACCCCACCTCCCATTTTTCCCATATTTTTAAGGGAATCAACGATTAATTGTGTCTGTGTTTTTTTCCCCTCCTGAGAGTGGGCGAGGAGCAGACCGCAGGGGCAGCACAACGTCAGGGAGGGCAGCGCGCCGACGGGTGCGGGGTGGGGAGGGGGAGTGAGCCACGCATGGCGGGCGCCCGGCAAAGTGGCCCGCCAGCGGCTCAGGAGTGAATGCCGTCAGTCGAAGTTGGCGTCTTCGGGGTCGCGACCTTACGCGGGCGGGCCAGTCCGAGCGGTAGACCAGGGTGCGCGTCAGAAGCATGGTGGGCGGGAGTTGGGAAGGCGCTGCCTGGACTGGTCGTTGTTGGGCCCCGGTGGCGTCAGCGCGTCGTTTGCCTTTCCCCGTGGGGTCATGGCCCGTTCCTTTGCCCTTGCCCTTGTCCCACTGCCGCTGGTCAATGTGCCGCACCTGCCTCTCCCAGGCGGCGGTCCAATCGATCCAGAGGCCTCGTTTCTTGCAGACCAGGCTGCTGTCAAAGTTCTCCTCACGCAGCTGGAGCACCACCTCCTGTCGTGAACAAAAACATGGCAAGAGGTCTCGGCTGCACACAGGATTGACCCTGGGGCAAGAACGACCTCTGGTGCGCGGCTTCAAAGGAGCCGCCGGGGAGGCCAAATCAACGCAATCCACGCGGGCTGGGGGTCCACGTAGGTGCAGAGCCTCTGGGCGCCTCGATTTTCTAGCGGCCCCTGCTCCGCGGGACAGGGCACGCCCGCAGCCCTGTCCATCTGGCGAGCCCACGCCACCAATCGGGACAGGCTACTGAGAACATTCGTCGGGGAAGCGGCAGCAGCAGTCTGCGGGGGATGGGCAGCAGCAGCAGCAGCAGCAACAGTACCACGGCGACAAAGGACGGCAGCAAGGAGAACGGGAGGGTGAAAAAGGACGGCGACAAAGGAAGAAACCACTGCCCGACATCTGGCGAAGCTAGGAAAGGCCGACGGAGAAAAAACAAGAGCGGGCAGCAGTCATGCTGTGTGCCCCCTTGCCAGGGGGCCCTTGCGGACATCGAGGTCCCTCGTGGAGGCTTCACTGCATTGCAGGCCGCGTCGAAGATTGGGTCGAGGAACCCCTCCTGATCCTGCTCCTCCTGCTCCTCCTGCCAATCCTCGTCACCGTCCTCCTCTCTCCCTCCTGTCGTCCTTCTCCGACACGTGTTCCTCCATCATCCTCCCAGATCCCTCCCTCATCTCCCACTCATGCATCTCGTCTTGCTCCCCTCTCCTACCGTTCCCCCTCCTCCTCCTCCTCCTCCTCCTCCTCCTCCTCCTCCTCCTCCTCCCCCTTCTCCCTCTCCTCCTCTCTCCTCCTCCTCCTCCTCCTCCTCCTCCTCCTCCTCCTCCTCCTCCTCCTCCTCCTCCTCCTCCTCCTCCTCTCTCCTCCTCCTCCTCCTCCTCCTCCTCCTCCTCCTCCTCCTCCTCCTCCTCCTCCTCCTCCTCCTCCTCCTCCTCCTCCTCCTCCTCCTCCTCCTCCTCCTCCTCCTCCTCCTCCTCCTCCTCCTCCTCCTCCTCCTCCTCCTCCTCCTCCTCCTCCTCCTCCTCCTCCTCCTCTTGTTCTTCTGCTTATTATTAGTAGTAGTATGATTATTCTTAGTACTACTAGTAGTGTTATTCTTCTTGTTCATAATATTATTCGTATTAACCGTAGTAGTGTTCTTCTTCTTAGTGGTATTATTAGTCTTATTAGTATGTGGATTATTCTTCTTATGTACCAGTAGTACTATGATCCGTCTTAGTATTACTATTACTGATATGATTATTCTTATTGGTATTATTATTACTATGATTATTATGAGTAGTGCTCGCATGTGTCTTATTGTTTTGGTTATTCTCCCTCCTCCTCCTCCTCCTCCTCCTCCTCCTCCTCCTCCTCCTCCTCCTCCTCCTCCTCCTCTCCTCCTCCTCCTCCTCCTCCCCCTCCTCCTCGTTCTCCTCCTCCTCCTCCTCCTCCTCCTCCTCGTCCTCTTCCTCCTCCGCCTCCTCATCCTCCTCCTCCTCGTCCTCCTCCTCCTCCTCCTCCCCCTCATCCTCCTCCTCCTCCTCCTCCTCCTCCTCCTCCCCCTCCTCCTCTTCTTATTATTACTCGTCTTCTTCTTCTTATCATGATTCTTCGTCTTATGAGTATTATTAGTATTGATATTATCATTATGATTATTATTATCCGTATTATTATTCTTAGTATTACTATTATTATTCGTATCCGTCTTATCATTACTAGCATTAATCTTAATATTCTTATTAGTATTAGTGTTATTATTCTTATTCTTATTAGTATCAGCATTCTTATTATTATTATCATTATTAGTCGTCGTGGTCGTCTTCGTCTTATTACTATTATTAATGGTATTAGTGTTCGTCTTACTCTTCCTCTTATTAATGGCATTATTATTCGTAGTATTATTATTATTATTATTATTTCTCCTCCTCCTCCTCCTCCTCCTCCTCCTCCTCCTCCTCCTCCTCCTCCTCCTCCTCCTCCTCCCCCACCCCCCTCCCCCCCATTATCAACAACTCCTCCACGTAGAACCGCCCAGACGTGTCGCCAGGCCGGGCCGAGCAGTCCGCCTGAGACCTCTCACCACGCATGGCCCGGAAGCTTGTCGTCTGCATCGGCCTCAAGGGTGCGTCGCTTTCAAGGTATGGCCATCGCCTTCGCGACGCGCCCATTCGTGTCAGAGGTGCGCGGCGGATTCCAGGATGGAGGGCGGGTCCTTTCGCAAATGTGGCCCTCGGCGCAGCGCCGCGCATGCTTGCGCAAAGGACGCAACGGCTGCAAGGATGGAGGGCGGGTCGTTTTCGAAATCTGGTTCAGCGGGTTATCGCCGCGCACATTCGTTTTCAAGCATCTGCCAGAAGTGCATGGACGGAGGGCGGGTCTGTTTCAAAATGCGGCTCTCGTTCTAACCTCTCGCACACTCGTCATACAAATTAGCAACAGTGGTAAGGGCTCGTATGGCTGAGATCCTAGGAATGGTGGTCTGGCACGATTTAGGGTCGTCAGGACGCCACGGCCATGTCGAATCGCTGTGCTGAAGTCCCAGGAATGATGCTCTGCTACGATGTAGGGTTGTCTGGACGCCAGAGTCATGTTGTATGGCGACGTTGCAAACCCAAGAACTGTGTTCTGGCACGGTCAAGTATTCTTATACGGTTGTCTTCAAATGGGGCACGTCCCGCAATGAAAATATATCATTGTTGAGACATCTGCTGAACGAACTTGGACTTAGGGTTGCCTCGCAACATCGTTGGTGCGTCTTGGGTTTGCACTGGCCGTCATCCTCCTCCTCCTCCCCCACCTCCTCCTACTCCTCCTCCTCTTCCTCCTTCCCCTCCTCCTCCTCCTCCTCCTCCTCCTCCTCCTCCTCCTCCTCCTCCTTCCGTTCCTCATCTCACCCTCATTCTCCACCTCCTCCGCTTCCTTCTCCACCTCCTCCTCGTGATTTTTCCCCTGCTCCTTCTCCTCCTACTCCTCGTCCTCCTTCTCCTCCCCCTCCTCATCCTTCTTCGTCCGCCTCTCATCCTCCATCTCCCAGTTGACGAAGACAACGAGGACGCCGACGCCGACGCCAACGCCGACGCCGGCGCTGCCGCCGCCGAGGTCGGCGATGACGGCGACGGTGACGACGACGACGGTGACGACGACGACGACGACGACGACGACGACGACGACGACGACGACGACGACGACGACGACGACGACGACGACGACGGCGACGACGACGACGACGACGACGACGACGACGACGACGGCGCCTCGGTGATCTCCTGCTCGCTGAAGATGCGCCCCAGATGGCTCTCGGAGCCAGCCTCGATCGGCGACCCAGTCGGGGAAGCAGGGGTCGACTTGCGGTCGCTCGGGCATCCATTTCCCTGCATGTTTCGGTATCGTTCGTGTTTTTCGTCGCTCAATGATCTAGGATGCTCCTCAATAATCCCCGGCGAGAAAAAACGCACACGTCCAAGCGACGTCAAGTCGAGAGTAGGAGAGAGGAATGACTGTGAGGCAGGAGGAGGAAGCAGGAGGGGTGAGGAGGAGGAGGAGGAAGGAGGAGGAGGAGGAGGAGGAGGAGGAGGAGAAGAGATGAGAAGGAGAAAGGGGAGGAGGGGGGGGAATGGAGGAGGGAGGAGGAGGAAGGAGGAGGAGCATGGAACATACCTGGGTCCGAGAGCATAGGTCCGGAATGTAAGGAGGTGAGACACAGGATGCACTGGCCATCAGGAGCAAGTCACACTCGCCGGAGAGCCCTTGGAGGCTGAAATTTGCCAAACAACCATATGTCGTTTTTCTCGGGATGCGAGGGTGTCAGGGGAGGAGAACGGAGGATGGGGAGGAAGGACAGACCACCTGATCTACAGCACAAGTCTTGCCATGAGGAATCTTGCACAGGGAGCGGGGCCCCTTCACCAGGTTCTTGTTTAGGGGCCGTTCGAAGAATACCTTTGGAAGGACCTGAAAAAACTCGAAATCATTCCGAAACAAATGCGGTCACTATTCCAACGAGTTGCCGGTGCCATCGTGCAGACGAGTTGACTACGATGCGCTCCAGCAGCAGAACTCCACCATGATCAGGCAGACGTACCGACCACATGGAGCCGTCCTGAGCGCATTGGTAGTACAAGCATTATAGCCTCTGTTCTGTTTTTTGTCGGTTCACGCTTGGAAGAGACGCTTCATGGCAACGCGAGCGCTCTCATTGAAAGTCCCCTCTCAACACGGACTGCATCCTCTCGGACCCTGCCCGGGGAAATGTGGTCGCTAGTTGTCTGCCTCCTGGAGCGCACGTCTTTCCTCAATGCTCTTCTCCATTATCTACAACATCCTCCTCTTCCTCCTCATCACCCTACACCCCCAACTACCTCCTCCACTCCGTACCTCAATTCGCCCTCCCCCTCTCTTCATTCCCGTCCTTCACTACATCCCTCCCTCCTTCCATATGTCCACCCCTGGCTCCCTCAATGCTTCATTCAATCCTCACTCCCTCGCTGTCGTCGTCGCCGTTCTCCTCCTACTCCTCCTCCATCACGTATCGATAGATCTCCCCTCCCGCACCCCCAAACGTGCCGGTAGGACGAGCTGGCATTTCGCCTCAGAGTTCCCCACCACTCTGATCCTGAAGCTTGACATTTGCAACTGATTCAAATATGGGAAAGGTGGTCTTAAGCGTGAATTAAGTTCGTTTACGCCGTGCTTTTCGTTGCGCAGTGATTTTTTTTGCTACGCAATATTTTACGCAATGTCGTTTACGACATGCTTTTTCGCTACGCGGTGTTTTTTTTGTACGCAGGGTTTTTGTTGTACGCAGTGCTTTGTTACGCAATGTTTTTGCGCGCGTTGTTTTTGTTGGTTTGCATATTTTGCTCGGCCGTGTTTTTTTTAGCCGTGTTGTTGTTTGTTTTACGACATGCCCCTTTTTACGCAATATGTTTTGTTTACGCCGTGTTTTTGCACGCGGTGTTTTTTACGCAATGTTTTGTTTTACGCAGCGTGTTTGACGCAATGCTTGTTCGAATGAAAAAAAACACGGTGTACAAAAACACGACGTAGCAACAAGCACAACTGCGTAAACAAACACTACGCAAACAACAACTCGCAAGGAAACCCTACGAAGAAAACCGCATGCGAGAAACACATGAATATGGCAACGCTCCATCACAACACCGCGAAAAGCATGTAACAAGACACTGCGTAAAATTAGCATTTACTAGAAAATGTGTCAACAAAACTGCGTAAACAGAATCCGAAAAAATACAAAGAAGACAATATGCAAGACACTCTACACAAAAACCCGCGACAAAACTACACTCCGTATAAAAAAAAACGAAAACCTGAATAAAACACTACGCAGAACAACTTCATTAAAACAACAGTGCGTGAAACAAAAACAACCTACGTAAACAACAGCTCGCAAGAAAGCGCTACGAAGAAAACGAGATGCCAGGCAAAACAAACACGCTTCACAAGAACATACGAAGCACACCACACTCAGTAAGAACACTGCTGGGTGAAACAAATAAGAGAAAACACAAACGAACAAAACACGACGTAAAAACACTGCGTGTTCTGTGTATCTATATGTATGTATGTTATACAAAAAGCTGCCGAGCTAAACACTGCGCAAACAGACCTCACAGGGAAACGCGAGACGTTGACACTGCGTAAAGCCCTACGTAGAAAAGAACAAACACTTGGAGAGAGAGGAGGAAGCAAAAAACACACACAAGGGAGAGAGATAAAACAAAACAAAACCTGCGTGAGAAAAAAAGCTGCGCAGAAACACAGCGAACAGAAGAAAACGCCCTGCGTGAAACAGTGCGGGGGATAAAAAACAACCACGTAAAAACCACCACGTGAACAACTCTGCGTAAACAATCACTGCGCAAAACAACACTGCATTAAAAGCAGTCTTGTATTTTTATATATATATATATATATATATATATATATATATGTGTGTGTGTGGTACCAAAAAACTGCATCCAAAACCCTGTTCAAAGAAGTGCGTGTACAGACCCCGAGGGGAAGCACCGCGCAGAAACAAAAACGCAGAGAAAACTACAATAGACACTACACAAGAACACGCGTCAGTACTACACGTTGTAAAAACGTGGCGGACACAGCGGCTTTTACCGCGTACAGTAACACTATGAAGAAACAACCAAACATAAAAAACAGCAAAATGTTCCCCAACCCTCTTTGGTTGGGTATTCGTTTTGAATAGAGCACCGCGGTCGCGTCTCCCTCCCTCCTCCTCCTCCTCCTCCTCCTCCTCCTCCCCCTCCTCCTCCCGCCTCCTCCCGCCTCCTCCCGCCTCCTCCCGCCCCCGTGTCTCGATCTTCCCCTCTCGCATCGTGCGCATCTCTTGGGTATGCATGTCGTCTGCGGTACCTGTCTTCGGTCTCGCCGACTCTGGGTGGCTGCGATCTGCGACACTGTCGCCACTTTCGAGGGCTGCGGGTGGGTCCAGCGGAGTGAGGCACCGCGCAGACCTGAGCGGGACCTCGCCGTCCCTGGGGGGCTGCGATCTGCGACACTGTCGCCACGTTCGAGGGCTGCTGGTGGGTCCAGCGGGGTGAGGCACCGCGCAGACCTGAGCGGGACCTCGCCGTCCCAGGTAGGCTGCGATCTGCGACACTGTCGCCACTTTCGAGGGCTGCTGGTGGGTCCAGCGGAGTGAGGCACCGCGCAGACCTGAGCGGGACCTCGCCGTCCCTGGGGGGGCTGCGATGTGCGACACGGTCGCCACTTTCGAGGGCTGCTGGTGGGTTCAGCGGAGTAAGGCACCGCGCAGACCTGAGCGGGACCTCGCCGTCCCTGGGGGGCTGCGATGTGCGACACGGTCGCCACTTTCGAGGGCTGCTGGTGGGTCCAGCGGAGTGAGGCACCGCGCAGACCTGAGCGGGACCTCGCCGTCCCTGGGGGGCTGTGAGCCTCACGAAGGCCACGTCGTCACCTCCGTATAACGTCTCCCACGCTACTCGTGCCCCGCATTGCGCCGGGGGTGGGTATGTCGCCAGGGTGTTTAAAAACTGCGCTACATATATGGAATAACAATAATAACAATAAATAAATAAAATGAAATAAGTAAATACATACATGAACGAATACATACACACATAAATAAATACGTGCATAAACACTATGGTTAATAATTATAGTATTACAATTGATAATATTAGTAATAACAATACTAATAATGGTAATAATAAGAATCAGAATGTCAGTAATCATGATGCGAATCGTAATAAGAATGATAACAATAACAACAAATATAATAAACGCGCAGATTAAACGTACAAAAACAAGTTAACAGACCCCGAGGGGCAACACTGCGCAGTCCAACAATACGCAGAAAACAAAATACAAGAAGCACTGCACAAGAGCACGCGAAATTACTACACTCCGTGAAAGAATGGAATAAAACACTTGGACTTCTTTTCGTTTGTTTGGAACCAGGAGGAGGGAGAGGAACCGGGAGGAGGCGAGGAACCGGAAGGAGGAGGGGGAACCTGGGGGGGAAGAGGTGGAAAAAAACACTGCGTAACAAAAAGCACTACGTAAAAAAAACACTACGCAAAAAAAACACTACAAAACGTACACAAAAATCACGATGCAGCTTAAGATGCAGCTCTCGCCTTCGTGCCGCGCAAGTTCGTCTCGAAACGGTGCGACATGTTCACAGATGGAAGGGATCGTCTCAGAGTGGGGCTCTGCGCCTTAGCGCCGCGCAGACTCGTTTAAAATATCTGTAAGAGCTTCAAGGGTGGAGGGCGGGTCGGTCTCAAAATGAGGCTCTCGCCTAAGCGCTGCGCACGTTCGTCTAAAAGCTTGCAAAAGCTTCAAGGGTGGAGCGTGGGTGGCTCTCGCCTTAGCGCCACGATCACTGGTCCTAAAAATTTGCAAGGTCCCAGGAATGGAGGACGGGTAGCTTTCAACATGGGGCTATCGCATCAGCGCCGTGCACGTAAGATGTGAAAGCTCGCAGCAGCTTCAAGGATGGAGGGTGGCTCCTTTTCAAAATGTTTGCCCTCGCCTTAGCGCCACGCTCTTTCGCCGTATGAAATGCAGCAGCTTCGAGGATGGGGATCACCAGGTCGTTTTCAAGATGGGTCTGTCGCAATAGCGCCGTGCACACTCGTCTTAAAGCTGGTGGCAACTCGACGGATGGAGGACGATTGCTTGTTCAGGGTAGCGCCCTCGCGGCAGATCTCTCGTACTGGGAAAGACCCCGAGCTTCAACCCGCGCAGCACTGCAGGGATCGAGCGCGGCTCCGGGCCAACATGAAGCCATCGCCTAAGACTTCCCCGAAGTCCACGGCCAGAAGTGCAGGCTGGTGCAGCAGGTAAACATCGGGTGGGGGGGGCGGTCCGTTCTCGAAAAAAAAATTGTCCCTGAACATCTCGCTGAACTGCATGATCGTTTTTGTTCACACTCCTGGCTACGCGCCAGAAGGATGCAAGGCAGTTCCTGCCGAAAACGGGGCCCTCGCCATTATGCCACGCCCATACGAGCGAGGATCGAAAGGGGGTCTTACGCGAGATGGCATAGCGAGCTTACGCCGCGGCTTACGCGGGCCACCAACGCGGCACGCCACATTGACGAGGAAGGCGCTGACGCGCGACCTTACGCGCGCAGCTTGCACGCGAATGTCGGTGAAGACGACCCCGTCGTCTTGCGTCGCTCACATGACGCTGGCCTTTCAAGGGGGCGGTTCTAGTAGTGCTTATAGGGACGCATGAAGAGGGGACTTCGAACAGGAGGGTGGATTGCAGCATCGATGACTCATCTTTGCTTTACTCTGGTTATCATCCTTCTCCCTTCCCCTCCAAGCCTCCATCCATCCATAAACCCTCCTTTCGTGTCTCCTTCCTCACTCTCTCCATCTTCCCCATAATGTCCTACCTCCTGCTCCTCCCTCCCTTCACCCCCTTACCACCCACGCGACCGTGCTGCGCAACTTGTCGAAGACCTTCTCGGCCTTGCTGGCGTCCTGACATTTTCTCAACACGTACTTGATGATGGCATCCACGTTGTTGACGGTCTAGGGGCCCAAAGGTGAAGTTGCAGCAGCAGCAGCAGCAGGAGCAGCAGCAATTGCAACCAAGCAGCAGCACCCGAGATGCGCTAGCATATATGTCAACCAGTTCTCAAGCATGCATTGTCTTCATGACGTCCACCGTACCATTGCAGGTCTGTCCTACCATGCGAGCATGAGTACGAGTAACATGCGTGAATGCCGCATGCCAGTGCTGCCAATGATGCCTCATTCTTCTGCTCGTCCTCATCTTACTCCTCATCAGATTCCCGCTTGTGTGACACTCATCCTTGGCATTTCCTGGCGGCAGACGGGCCTGAGGATGAGGTTCTGTAGCCAGCAGGCCCAGAGGGGGATTGCGGTGTTGACGCTTACCTCACACATGTGTGCTTCAAAGGCGCAGTGCCCAAAGGACGGTACTTGGAGTGATGATGTTGACATGGATGTGATGGCGAGAAGGGTGAAGCAGAGGAAGGAGAGGACGAGGAAGAAGTAAGGAGGAGGCGCAGGCAAGTTGAGCGAAATCAATGGCCCCACCTGGGAGGCTGGGGGTACGGAGCCGAGACCCGGCCCAGCCAAGACCGGCCACTTGGCCTCTCCAGACCTCGCCGTGACTTTTGCACGACGCGGTTCCTCGAAGGTCTGGGCCACCTCCCCGGGACGGCCTCGTCCATGCTGGCTCTCGAAGGTCCCATGGGGCCCGGAGGAGAGCACCCCGGAGGCCGAAAACTGCCCCAAAACCCCTCCGCCTCGAGCTCTGCTCACGACGCGCGGAGGTCTGGGCTCCCCGAACCCCTCGCGACCAGGCGGCCCCACCGCCCGCGGGGAGAGAGGGGGGGGCGGTGCCTCGTCCACGCCGGCTTTCTTGGCCTTCTTCTCCGCCTTCTCTCGGGGCGGCAGCGCCCGCTCCGCTCGGGAAGGCGGAGAAGGCCAGCGAGAGCCCAGGTCGCCCCCAAGCGCGATGGCCCGCGGCTCGTCGTTGTCTTCCTCCTCGTCCTCCTCCTCTTCCTCCTCTTCCTCCTCTTCCTCCTCCTCCTCCTCCTCCTCCTCCTCGTCCTCCTCCTCTTTCTCCTCCTCATCCATTTCCTCCTCCTCCTCCTCCTCCTCCTCTTCGTCCTCCTCCTCCTCCTCCTCCTCCTCCTCCGCCTCCTCCGCCTCCTCCCCCCTCTTCCGCCTCTTCCTCCTGCTTTTCCTGCTCTTCCTGCTCCTCCTGCTCCTCCTGTTCCTGTTGCTCCTGTTCCTGCTCCTCCTCGTCCTCGTCCTCCTCCTCCTCCTCCTCCTCTTCCTCCTCCGCCGGTTATTATTATTTTTATTGTTCTTACTATTAGTATTAGTATGGTTTCTTCTTACCACTATTCTGTTAGGTTCAAGATTTCCTTATGCTTCGCATTAGTAGTATTACTATTTTGTTTATTAATATGATTCTTACTCGTATTATTATTACTCGTTGTATTATCCCCATTCTTATGTTATTTTTCCTAACATTACTGTTTTTTGTTTCTGATCAGTAATCGTCTTGCGATTACTCTTGACAAATAAGTGTCGTTTGTATTACTCGTGCTATTATTAGTATGATTCTGTTTATTCTCATGATTGTGATGGTTATTATGCTTGTGAGTCGTCTTCTTCTTTTCGGTAATAATATTAATGTTGGTATTAGTTGTCTTCGTGGTATTCTTATTCATAGTATACTCATTGGCCTTATCATGGTGGTTCATCTGATTATTGTTATGACTACCCATGTTATTACTACTAACATCATTAGCAGTATTACTTTGCATTCTTCTTGCAATGATCATTCGTCGTATGAGCAGTACTATGGTCCGCAATCGTATTCGTATTAAATATATTTCCCACAGCATTATGATGTTTAGCATTATTTCGGTCATTGCGATTATTCCTCGTATTCTTCATAGTAGTGTTGGTATTATTATTGAAATGACTGGTATTATTTTGCTGCTTCTTCATATGCTAATGATGTTTCTTATTACTGTTCTTCTTTGTCGTATGAATAATATTACTATTCGTCCTCCTCCTCCTCCCCCTGCTCCTCCTCATCATCCTCCTCCTTGTCCTCCTCCTCCTTTTCCTCGTCCTCCTCCTGCTCCACCTCTTCCTCCTGCTCCTCCTCCTCCTCTTGCTCCTTCTCTTCCTCGTCCTCCTCCTCCTCTTCCTCCTCTTCCTCCTCTTCCTCCTCCTCCTCTTCCTCATCCTCCTCCTCCTCCTCCTCCTCCTCCTCCCCCGCCTAATCTCAAATGACGGCCGCCGCCGTCGAATGTTTTTAAGTGCAAACCCATTTGCTCAAGAACTCCGCGAACCAAATGCTAGCGGTCGGAGCAAGCGGCGCGCATGCAGCGGCAGGGGGCAGGAAAAGAGAGATGATCGCACTGGGAATTCAACACCAGTCCTCGACCATCTGGTTTCATTGGTCTGGGCAGCAGACCGCAAGACCAAAACATGAGATGTACAAGTATGGCGTTACACCCCTGCTGCGCCATCTGCGACTCTGGGTGTGGCTCAGTTCGTACCGCAGGCGCGGCTCTCGTCAGCGCGCCTGTGGCGCGCCGTATTGACCGCCTCCTTGGTGAAGGCGGCCTCGGCAGAAACCCTCACGCTCACGTAGCGGTCCTTCATCGCTTTGACGAGGTCGCCTCGCTCAGCCTCCAGCTTGGTCAAGGCATCGGTCAGGCGCGCCGAAGTGTCGCGCCATTCCAAGTCGACTCCATCTTGAGATAATACTTCTCGGAGAACGGCGATGACCACTCGAACTCGGCGGCATGCGATCTGCCCTGCACCAGCGAGTAGGTGTGCCACAAATCCGTTCACGTCATCGAACCACTTGGCGGGGATCAGGGTCACGACGTCATACACCAAATCGACTAGCGTCTGGTGGGGCTTGCCAATGCTGTAGTTGAACGCTCTGAACGATCTCAACGCATCGACTCCTTCAGTGGTCCGCGGGTTTCAGCCCCCATCGTCCCGCCGAGTGCGCCGAGCGCGAGGTCGTCGACGTTGCTGGCACTGCTGTCGGCGAAAACTCATTGCACGTAGATGTCCACCATCATGTACAAGATCGGCATGCAAGCGCAGTCACGCAACTTGCGTCTCTCGGCAGCAACGGACGAGACTGTTCATCTACAGCAGGAACAGCACAGTGGCCTGGTTCGTCTGTTTGGCGAGCCCGTTGTCGCCCAACGAGACGCCCATTCGAAGCTGCCTGGAGAGCCACCCCAACGAGCCCATCACCAACTCCGCAAAGCTCCTCTCGGCATCCGTAGCCAGAGCCTTGGTCTGCTTCGCGTGGGCCTGGGACATCGCGAGGGTCTCCATCGCGTCGATGAAGTGAGTCACGCCGATCTTGGCCGAGCAGTCTTGGCCTGCTCGGCGCCCTTGCCGCGGTACCTACATGGGGTTTTCTCTTCGGTCGCCATCGGCGCCTTCTCGAGCTCGCCGGTCGCGGTCTTGGACCAGGCGCCGCCGCCGCCGCCGGTCGCGAGCAAGTCGCCCACGCAAGCCCCGACGAGGCCGACGAGCTCCCCCCCTCGACAGAGAGGGAGAAGGCGCGCCCCTAGCGGCCCCCCCGCCACGCGTTGCCGTTGAACGCCCGCCGCAGCTTGCGCCGCCGCATTCCGCCAGCGCCCTCGGCGCCGTAGACCGCGACGTGGCAGACGAAAAACTACCTCTCTCGAATTCCAAGCGGCGGCGGCGAGGGCGGCCGCAGCACTCGCATACAATTGACGCCATATCTTGCACTCGCGGCGTCGAGCTCGAAGAGGGGCCCGCGCTCCCTGGCCGCCGCGCTGCTGATCAGGTGGGAGACCATCACCGAGGATGTAGAGGCGTTCTCGCGGACGTGAACCGACTCGCAGCACCCTGCTGCCGCCTGACAGGACTCGGCCTTCAGGGGGGGGGGCGGGTCGAACTCCCCCATGTCAGCGTGGGCCCACCTCGACGGGGCGGGCTCCACAGTCTCGAGCGCAAATCATGGCCTGCGGCGCGCGCGGCCAGGAGGGGCTGGGGGCGCATTCACATGAAGAAAGGCGCACTCAATGAAAATATCATGGCCCCCGCCACGACACGCACCCCCCCTAGTGAGCGCCCCCCCCCTTGGCCGGCCCCGATTGACGTAGATGCTGGAGGGGAGCTGCCTTCGGCGCGAGCCGGGGATGGGCCCGCGGCCCACGCCGCAGGCGCCGCCGACGACCTGCCCAGCAGCGGCCCGCGCTCGGGGACCATTGGAGCACTCGCCTCCAAACCCTCGCGACGAACGTCAAGGGGGCCCACGAAAGCAAGGCGCCGCGCTGATTTGCGGGCCCTCCGCGGCGAAACGGAGCCGCAATGGGCTCGCCAGGACCGCGCCTGCATCATTCCGTGGCCACGTCGCGCGAGGAATGCCCTTCGCCGCTGCAGGGCGGCGGGCAGCGTGGACTCAGTCCGCCACCCTGTCGGGGCCGCGGACGCCGCGGCCGATCACGCGGGCAACCCCGGACCAGCGGCGGAACCAGGCCGGCGACTCGCCAAGCTTGACGCGCGCCCTCCCGAAGTAGACGTAGGCCCCGCCGGGGAAGGGGCCCCCTCCTCGCGGGAGTCGAGCGCGCCAACCTAGCAATCCTCGCGCGGTTGTCGCCATCTATCTTCAGGAGCGCCGCCACGGCAGGCTCGAGGCCATCGCGGACTCCGGGTCGAGAGCGGCCTCGCGGACGTCGAGCTCCACCGCCTCGCCGTCTTGGAGAACCGACCTGGGGGCACTAGGACCGCGCGCCCCCAGCGCCCAATTCGCCGGCGAGCACCCATCGCGCGCCACCAGCACGTCGCGAACCAGGCCCACGATGTCCAGAGAGCGCGGAAGTCCTTCTCCTTCGTGATCTGGGCGTTCTGCACCACGCGGTGGAACGCCTCCTGCCAAACTCCGACGGCGCGCGGCCCTGCCGACCTGCTCGCGGGCCTCCGACGCCGCGCTCTCGGACTCGACGCCGCTCTCAAATGCGCGGGCCAAGGGCTCCTTCGAGAACTCCTTGCCGCGGCCAACGAAGACCGACCAGGGCCGCCCGGCCTGGCAAATTAGCCCAGACACCTACAGACCTACAGCGCGCCCAGCATCACGTGGAAAGCTAACCTGGCATCGCCCGGCGTCCGCTCTGGGCCCGCGCGCTCGGCTCAAACCACGCCGCCGCGAAAGTGGCATCCGAAGCCCCGCGCCGCCTCGATGAACGAACGCATTCTTCGCGCCAGACCCCCCGAAGCATCTCGCGACGGCCACGCTGGCAGCGCGGCGGGAGTTCGCGAGGAGGTCGCAGACGTCGCGCCCTGCGCCAGGGCAGATCACCCACCGCTCGCGTCTCTCCTTCTCTCCGGGCGACACGACGGGCCCGAGATCGCGGCCGCCTAGGCACTGACGCCCTCCTGCTGGATCCTCGGGAACTTCAATATTCCCGCCCCTTAATGGAAGGCCCCGTTCTTGGCGCCCTCGGCCTGGCCCCCATCAGCTCCGGCTGCTTCCCGCGCCGCCGCCCCCTCCTGGAGATCAGCCCCTCGGCCGGGGAGCCATCCTGGACGCGGTCGTCGATCTCCCCCCAGGTCGATCTGCTGCTCGATCGCGCGGGGGATCGATCGGCCAAGCTCGCCGGGCCACCTGGCGGCCGCGCGCGCCCTGGACTCGTTCTCGACATCCCCCTCCTGCACTTCGCCCCGCGCGGGGCCTCGCGCCGGCGCTTCGCCCCACGCTGGGCCCCGTAGATCGCGACCGAGGCGGCAAGGGGAACCGCGTCGGCCGACAGCGAGGGCCCCCCGCCTGCTCGCCAACGCAGCCCAGCTGGCAGCTGCGCGGATCACACTCGAACAGCACTTCCTTCTCGACGAGCTCCTTGGCCCCGATCACCTCG